TCGGTATTTTGTCAAGGGATGTTTAAAGATTACTTTTAAACTTTAGTAACATCAAAAACTTGATTTTTTGTTATTGTTTTTGAGTCTTGAAAATGGCCGTTTTTGCATTTTTTCGTACATTAAATTGTTTATAACTCAGAAACCGTTGATTTTAGGAGCATAGTGCATAGGAACTATTTTGTTTAGAATGCCCCAAAATATCTAAAAAAACTTTTTCCGGAGCAAAACAAGTTATTTTTGCAATTTGTTAAAAAAATTAGTTTAAAAAATTGTGACCAGGTTACCGGCCGGTAACATTTTGATCCTCATTCAGGGACATCTCACGGAGGTGATTATGCAAAAAAATCGAATCCACTAATTTTTTCATACGAATCCGCCGATTTCGCCTTGTCTAGCTCTCATTGACTACCAATCACTCTGGATAAATTAAAAATAATTGTAATTCAATTTTCTCAAAAACGGTACAAGATATCGACTGATATACGGTATACCTTTTTTTAAGCAAACTGCGACAGGAATCAAACTATGAATGAAAAATGCAAATTTGGTAACGCTGTCAAAGATGCAAAAATTTAAATGGATAATTTCGTCTGCTCCTGTATATTGAACATTAGTTTAAATTTGGAAATGAACACTACCATGAGTTACTTTCATTGCACAAATTTCAATGTTGTCATGGTAACGACTTAAAAGTTATAATTGGAATTTGTTTTTCAAACTTCTTTCTTTGAAGGCGAATAACTCTACAACGAAGCCTGATAGAGTTTTTATAGGTACTATAACTATTTTGACCTCCCCTGTATATCTCTTCATTTTTGTCATGACCTTTCCGGACACCCTGTATATTAGAAGCAAAAATAGGAGTCAATTTCATATTAGATAGTGTGTTATTTGGATAAATTATTCCCTATTTTTAGTTTTGGATGTACCTTGTCAATATTTTACTGAAAAAATACATTTGGTATTAAATAGGATGTCCCGATATTTTCTGTGAATGAAATTAATATAGATTTTTCGTGTCAAAATTAGACGGTTTATTTAAATTTATCTCTATCCAAAGTTGCTTTCTTTAGCTTGGCTGCTAGGTATAGCGTCAAAGCCTGCAAAGTTTTACTTTTTCCCAAATAACTCTAAAATACAAAAACCAATTTAAAAAACGATATTTGGTTTGATGATACTTACTTGTTTAGAGACGACACTTTTTTAAAAATAACTCCACTCCTAAGCAATTATGATAATTTTTTGTAATCTTACAAGTTAGTTTGGCTAAAAAGTGTACAGTACATGTATAAACTCTTTTTTAAATGATTCTATAATTCTTTCTTAATTTACGGGAAATTCTTAGCAAATCGTAATACATTTCTCTAAATCTTAAACTACACCACTGTACATTCAAAATTAAGAAAAATGTGTTCAATAAACATGGGCTGAAAGCTGAAAGAGCTCGCAATCAACTGCATGTAGCTTCCTTAGGAAGTATTTTCAAACCTCGTTTATTAGAACTATTTTCTCATTTTCAAACGCAGCATCTAGAGATAATAGTCTAACGGGACATTTGATTTGGCAACTTATATTTTTGTGGCGTGATAGATCTTTGGAATTTACTCGAAAACGATACATGCGATAGATGACCGAGAGCATAATTCTACTGAACAAAAATAAGAATAATTTCCTGATAAAAGTTGAAATAAAAAACTACCCACGAAAAAATTGCGGTAGTTTTTACCCATAGCCAATCAGTTTTGACCTAGTTCCAAATCAAATTTTAGAATGATTTATTTATAGGATAAACATAGGAATAAAATTCTTGGTAGATCTCTAAAATTTAATTTATTTAATGACTCAAATCATTGGAAATATCAGTCTAAAAACCCTAAATCCTTTATCACATTCGTCGAATTAATTTATTTCCATTTCCTCAATTGTGTTGAATAGAGGTTTTAGAACAGTGCTAAATCTCTCTCTATATTCCTGGTTACACTCAAATTCCTTTAATACGAAAGATGGCCTGTTTTTTATTGTGAATTCTAAAAAATTTTCCGGGCACGAAACGACTACACTTGATAATGACTCAGGTAAATAGGTGTTTGTACCATATAAGCTAGCTTCAACTAATGCAGGTAACTTGTATTCTTCGGCACTAGCTAGAAAATCATCTTTTGAAATTATCTCCACTATTTTTAGATCGTACCGTGACAACTCATTTATCAGGAAATTGTAATATAGATCTAGAAGGTATTCTATATTTTTGTTCAAGTAACTTGCAGTTGTACACATGTTCAGAAACAAAAGTACATCAAAAATTGGTGGGGTGTACCTAGACAACTGAAAATCCAGTAGCATGCATTCGTCCTTTTCGTTGAACATCATATTGTTACACCAGAGGTCGTCGTGGCAAATAGTGTTCCTGTACTTTTTCGACGGCTTTAAATACTTTTTCATACCATTTTCAGAAAACACATACCGCTTGATCTTTAACGCGACTTCTTCATTATTGGTAAAATACCTACTTAGTTGCTGAAGACAGCTGATGGCGGTTTTACACCATTCGTTTCTTACATGACCTTCTTGAAAGGAAAACGTTGCTTCAGTTAGTTCTTCAGGGAAATGTTCGTTTAACCTGTATGGTTTTTCTTTGGTGCTTCTTGCCTCCTCGAATATTATAGAACTGGCGTGTAGTCTAGCTAAAGCGTTTAAAGCACCTACGCATTTTCCATGATCCAGATATTCCATAGTACAAATCTAGAAGCAAATGGAGCATCAGTGGGATTGTGTTTGTTAAATATATTTAGGACAACAAGCTTCATATATCAAAATTATTATAAAATGTACCTATAACAATTATGTTGAGAGTTTTTGTCCAGATTAGAATTTAAAATTTGATTTTTAATTCTAGTATCGATACCATTGAAAAGACAAAATCAGTGGCGGCGCGTGAACATTGATTGAATGTGTTCTGCTTAGGGTTGACTGACGGTATAAATAAATTGGAATAAACTAAATATATTTTATTAAATTATTGAATATTGTTTATAAACAAAAATATCGTTTGTGAAGTTTACCAACGATTCAACGAATTTTAATTTTCCTCGCCGTGTTATGATTTTTTCTTTATCTTTTTTTTATATATACTTATGTACATATATTATATTCCGGGAGTTATACGTACAAATCCGAAATCCGGGACCTTACAGCTAATTCCCGGTACAATCACAAAAAATCCGGGTCATACCCATGTGGCTAGACGTTCTTTCAATATGCCGTCAAGATCTGCACTAAAATTTATGAGTCCACGAAACACATCAGGGTTGTCCGAATTTTCTGTATCCTCGTATCCGCGAAGTGCTAATTCGAAAGCTCCGCAAAATTTTATGCAATCTATAATTTTAGATAATACATAATGATTTTTCGTTACCCGTTCATTGTGTTTCCGTATATTATCCCAATATGCAGAATCTAACTGACTTCTTATGTTTATTTTACCTAATGACATAAATGACTTAAATCTTTCACACTGTATATTATCCATGCTTTATCTCCACCGAAAAGCTAGCACGGAATACAAATTGTATTGTATTTTTTATATCACACCCGCACACCCACTTTGCTTTTGTGTATACATTATTGTTAAGTCTTTTATAACTTTTACTTCGGCTTGTTCCACTAACTTCAATATTTAATTGTGGTGTCGACCCACCTAATTCTTATTTTAAGTTTACCCTCATAAGGCAGAGAACCAAATAAAGTTTTTTAAAAAACGAAACGCTATTCATTTCAATAACTGTAATATCGGTAGACGCCTAAACGAAAATATTTACACGTGCCGCTCGCAGAAATAAACCACCACATACCACGTATGCATTTACTGCAGCAGTGGCTGTAGCTGTTGCAGCCACAAAATCCCATATAAAAGTGTACTGGGTCACGTGCCTGATTAGCCAATAAAAACAAAGGACGCATACAACTGTTCGCTGTGCACACATTTTGTATATGAGGTTGCATATATTAAGGAGCGTAGCTCGCGTCGTAATAAATAATATAAGCTCCTAGATTTTAGCGCGAGTACATTTGGATTCTTTAAATATTTTGTTGATATTTAATATGATTAAATAGATACAATTTTATGTGTTCTGCAGCTCCGCAGCTCTTATGGTAAAACCGCCACTGGACAAAATCATTTTTAGTAGTTCTACAGAATTCAAACTATTAACATAACTTTCACACAGTACTTTTAGAAAAAGATAGAAATCTTGCACCATAGAAAGAAAAAAAGGAAATAACAAAAATCAACTCAACAGAGTTTACTTAAAAAACTATTTTTTGTGATCAAGTAAGTATATTCTATTTATTTTTTTATACTTTTTACAAAATTAACAAATTTTATTTTCCAATACTTTGCTTAAATAAGGTAAAAACTTGTATTATTATTTATAGGAATTATTATATATAATAGAATAACTAAATTGTGTCTAACTCCTCTGACAAGTTCTTGCACAGAAATACAGTTTAAAGGATATCATAATTACTTTTTAATTTAATCTGAGGAAGCTTTGGTTAATTTTTTATTCCTAATTTGATTCACCCTATATATTTTTTAAATTACAATGCATTACATTACATTTTACATTACGCATCTCGAAATATAGTAACTTAAGAACGGGAACCAGCGGTACCAGCGTATTATTAAAGAATTAATATTTTTACGCATTAGTTAGACCAGTAGTACCCAATCGGTAGTGACTGACGGCTACCCGATTCCGGCAAGTGTGGAAAGGCACTAAAGCTTTTGTCATCTATTGGTATATACAGGGTGAGTCGGGAGAATTACACCAAACTCCAGGAAGGAATTCTATACGTCAAAATAATAAGAGAAAACTCAAATGTTGTTATGCGATTTTCATTTGTGTTCAAGCTATGACGTACCTACATTTCCATAAAAAAATAATTTATTGATATTCAATTAATCATAACGTTCTTTGATTAAATGTTCAAAAACACCACCATTGACCTCTACGAAGGTCATCTGTAGCTCTAATGATTGCTGTACGTCTTTCTTTAACAACTGCTGCAGTATTAATGATACTTCAAATTAGTATCCTCCGAGTGTTCATTCTAGCTCTGTACAAAGTGTCTCAAACTCGATACGGTATTATTTCCCGTTTAAAAGTTAAGTAGTATCGTCCTAAACAGTCTCAAAAGAAATACCACCTAAAAATCACGTTAGCGGTGGAAAGATCAAGTAGTCGTTGGAAAATAATTGAATGTTCGTTGTTTAAAGTGCATAAATGTCACAAAATACTTGTCATTACTCAATACGAACGTCAAACGTATAACTTTTGTGCTTACAAAATGTTTTCTCATTCAGAAAAAGTTGATATGTTGCTAATTTACGGCGAGTCACAAGAAATTCAAGAAGAGCTGTAGAGTTATATCGAGAAAGGTATCCAGAGCGCTTCATTCCCGATCATAGAAACTTTACAAGATTGGAGGCGACCTAGCGACGAAATGAAGATGCATTTTCGGACAAATTAAATAATTGACCGAAGGCTAAGAAACAATACAGCTATACTAGTGTTATAGTATTTCGAAAACCAGTGGGTATCGTGGAGTATTTCTCTGAGTGTCACATTGCAGACTTAATTTTATAGCTAAAATTGTAGTAAATGTAGAAACTATTGATCAGAACCATTTTCGGCACGTTCTTCAGTAACGGTTTGCCAAACAGGCGCAACGAACACTACTGATCCATTGAAAATTCCCATATTGTAGATCCAGTCCAAAACCAAGGCCATTTTGGAGTAAATGTATGGTGCGGCATCATCGGTAGGCATTTAATTGAGCCTTATTTTTGTGAACATACATTGAACAGCGTGAGTTACCTAAATTTCCTTCAAGAAGAACTTCCTGCACTTCTGGAAAATGTGCCTTTGCAGCTAAGAAGAAACATATGGTTTCAGCAGGACGGGGCTCCACCCCACAAGGCCAGGATTGTGCAACAATATTTAGATAACACTTTTCCACAAAAATGGATTAGGCTTAATGGACCTATTCATTGGCGCGGATAGTCACCAGATCTAACACCCCTCGATTTTCTTATGGGGGTTTTAAAAAATTAGGTTTACAAAACACCTTCGCGAGATATTAATCATTTGAAAGAAAAAATCACAAACGCTTGTAATGAGCTAAACGGCGAAATGTTAATAAACGCAGCCCACAAAGAAATCAGGCGAAGATTGGATATGCGTCTTGAAATAAGAGGAGGTCAAGAGATTGTAATACGTATGTAGTGTGAAAGCGTTTGGCTTATTTTTAAGTTTAGTTATTGTTATCACCACCTTTTGTTTTAACTGTATTAAAGAATTATCGATTATTTATTCCAACGACTACTTGTTCCTTCCATCGCTAATGTGATTTTTAGGTGGTATTTCTTTTGGGACTCTTTAGGACGATGTCGCTTATTATATAACTTTTAAACGGGACGTAATAAAGAAAAATTTCTCTAATAAAAGTTTATTAGAAAAAAGGGAACTTTTTAACAGGAAAATAAAATTGGGTATGTTTCTACAAAAAATATAATTGATGGCGTCATTAGTCGTGTCTGTCAAATCCCAAATATAATACTTTCGATTGAAAATGGAGCTTACCTCATCCCATTTATAGTCCAATTAAATAAGCCTTTAAATCGAAATTTTGGACAACTTGCCTGAATTTTTGATATGAGTTAGTTTGAGGTATATTATAACAATATGTGACAGTAATTTTTTGTTCAACCGCCGGGCAAGGGTGAAAAAAGATAAGACAAAGGAGTTTTTCAAGCTAACTCGAAAGGGGCAAGGGCTAGAAAAAAAGTTTCTTATAAAAGTTGGAGAGCATACAATTCTACGTAAAAATGGCATCTTGACTTTTTCTTGTACTATTAAAATTAACAGAGTTAGAGAGGCTAGAAGTTAAGGGAAGATTTCAGAAATTTAAAAAAATCATAAGCAGAAAAACGAATGAATTTTGTAATTTTTTTTTTCAATCTAGTCTATAAAATGTAAAGAGACACGTATTTTGCCTCCCCTCAAAGTTCGCCCCCCAAAACAGTTTTTTCAAAATTTCTGGGGTTCTAATCAATATTTTGAAATGAAACAAAATGGAAATTACTTATGATAAAAAACAAATATTTCGCAAGTGATTCCGTGTTTGGGGGTTGCTACCCTTATTTTTTATTTCAGAAAAACTATATTTTTTATTTATAAAAAATCATATTTATTCAAAAAGAATTAAAAATATGATGTACTTATGTAAACAAATTGACAAAATTAAATTGACCTGTTTCGAGGTTTTCGGTAAAATCTCTGTTTAGGGGGGTGAACAACTAATTTGAAATTGTTATAACTTTCTAATTAAAAATTAAAAAATATATCTATTTCTCTGAAAAGAAAGGTTACATTGTTTAGAGTAGATCGAAAAAAAAATTACAAAATTCATTCATTTTTCTGCTTATGACTTTTTTAAATTTCTGAAATCTTCCCTTAACTTCTAGCCTCCCTAACTCTGTTAATTTTAATAATATAAGAAAAAGTCAAATGGCCATTTTTATGTAGAATTGTATGCTTTACAACTTTTACGCGAAACTTTTTTTTCTAGCCCTTACCCGTTTTGAGTTATCTTAAAAAAAAAACCTTGTTTTATTTTTTTTCACCTTTGGCCGGGGGTTGAACAAAAAATTACTGTCACTTATTGTTATAACATTCCTCAAACTAAGTCATATCAAAAATTCAGGCAAGTTGACCAAAATTTCGATTTAAAGGCTTATTTAATTGGACTATTAACACCACGTGTCCCGAACTTTACTTAAATTTTTTGTATCCTCACAGTAAGCCCATACTATCGAGTTTGAGACACGCTGTACACTTTTTTAACCCCATAAACAGTAATCTAGTGTCGTGAGGTCTGGAAATCTTGAAGGTTAACTAATATGACCACCGTGGTCACTCCAACGTCATGGAAACCTCCCGTTCAAATGTAGCTTGACTGGACGGACGAAATCTGCAGGTGAAAAGTATGCGAGGAAATTCGATACGCTTAGGATAATCTTCCGGTTGTAGGTGTTGTACTATTTGTACGTGGTACGGATATAAATAAGCCTTGCGCGTGGAGGGTTTTTATTACTTTTTTGTGGAATGCCTAGTTTGTTGAAAACTATGACAAATATACTGTTATCATGACATCTGTGATGTGGAAACTGTTGACGATATTATTTAACAGCAGCATTAGCATTCCCATTACAAAAACCATAAACAAACACCGTATTTGCATACTCTTTGATCGTACAAATACGTTATCAATCACGTAATGATGCTGTAACAAATGAATATCGCATAACATTTGAGATTTTTCTTATTATTGTAACGTATAGAATCCTGGAGTCTGACGCGATTCTTCCGACTCACCTTGTATACGCATATATTAATTACAAGGGAACTAATTCTATTTTATAGATTAAACACTGCAACAGAAAAATATGATCACTACTGAGCATTATAATAGATTAACTAATTATCGAGGAGATATTTTTTTATTTATTGTTATTATGGGTAATTTTATATCATCAAACAATAAATAATTCTTTGTCATTCGCTAAATAAAAAATTAGGACGTGAGTAATGCTTTTAGATTTGTTTGGGTTGTAAAAAATGAAAATAATAATATTAAACTTTGACAAAAATTTTGAATTTTATTCATTATTTGACTAAAACTTTCATGAGATTTGAGATATACCTATATTTAGGGGTTGTTTTCTGAGATGTTTAGATTTTTTTCGCATAATGTTTAAATTCCAGTTTTGTTAACAGATCTAGTCTTCACTAAGTACCTACTGGCAGCAAAGAATTTTCCAATGAATTCATGAATCACACAATAGTTTGAAATTAGAATGAAGGATGAGATGTTACAAACATTATACAGGGTGTTTCAGGAGGAGATGTACATACTTACACACTTACAGTATGTTATTCTACGTTCAATTTTAAGCAAACTAGTAGACGATTAACGTTGATCTATTCACAAAATTACAATCTTCTGGCATGATGTCTTGGCTGAAAATTTTGTACGCTCCAATGATGCTTTTTACTCAAGAAGCTGATACATAATTAGCACTCGAATACATAATTTGCATGCATCATCATCTTTAAATGAGTTTTTTAACGGAAACGGCTGCTCCTAGAGAATTCAGTAAGGGATAGGGGAAAATGTTTTTCTATTCCAAAATGACATACACCGTGGCACAAAAAAGTTGAAGCGATTTAAAATGATCCTAATGGTCGCTTGTGGCGACCTCTGGGAGATACAGCCAATCATCCATAAAATTTGAATTTCCCGTTCCAAGAAACCTCCGCATACAAAATTCAATGAATTTAGCTCAAAGTAGTCGAGAGTTATTAAAGAATATGTAATTAACTTTTTTTAATTGGACATTCTGTATATCCTAAACGAAGCGGTTCCAGACCTAACTTCATAGAAAATGTTTTGCTTAAAATTGAACGTAGAATAACATACTGAAGTATGTACATCTCCTCCTGAAACACCCTGTATATTTTAAGAAGAACTGACATAAAACTGTACAGAGTGTCCGTTAAAGAATGGGCCAAACTTTACCACTAAATTCTACGACGAAAGTTAATGGAGAAAGTATTATATAATGTTTCTCATAAACGCTTAGTTTTCGAGATACAAAAAAATAACATTTTCTTTAATATCTTTCGCAATTTTTTTTGTGCCACGGTGTATTTCACTTTGGGCTGGAAAAATCTTTTCCTCCAACTTTTCCGCTTAAAAAAGGTAGGCTTTGCTAATACCTCTAAAGCCAACCGTGTTCAACAGAAAAAAGGCATTTAAATTTGTAAATGATTAAAAAAATTTGTGCAAAATATATTTTTAACTCCACTGACAAACATTGAAGAACATATCTTTTAAGACAGGTCAATAATAATTAATATTTAATTGTTTAAGAGCTTTTTGTATTAAGATATACAATAATAAAATGTTTTATTTGATTTAAAGATATTAAAATGTAAAAAAATTGCACAGCTCTTAAAATTTTTAATTACTTACCTTTGTTTAGATATAAAAACTAAATTTACAGTTATCTGTAACATTTCATTTATAATTACAACTTTATAAATACTAACCTGGTAATTCAATGAAGATAAGTCCTCGAGCACGAGACAGTCACTCTTCGAAAAATAATATTTCGCAGCGAAAGGTGCCTTTGTCAGTTGAGAGAACTCCGAAAGGACATTTTTGTAATTCAATATTTCCTTGTTGAATATGCCCATGTTTTCTATGTAATCTTTCTGTATTGCATTCGCCGTTGGCATTGTTTTTAGAAAAAACCGATGAGAATATATTCCATTTCGTTTATTTTTTGTATATTCAATGGTCACATAGTAATGTTCCGCTAAAAATCCGAAAACCTTATCACCAATTCTACTTATTTGGTACTTTGATAGTGTTGCATTTCCGTCAAGTTTCGAAAGAATTTTCTCACACTCTTGCAGTGACAATATAGCACCAATTTCTTCAGGCATTTTCACAGTTTATTGTTTCTGTGAGGTACTCACCTGTTTTATGCAGCGTTTTATCTAAAGTCAAGGCGTATCATTAGTAAATAAAACGTATTTGTTATTTACTGTTAAGATTATTAGTATCATCGCGAGAGTTAAAATTTCTCTTGTGTTCACTTAAAAATCAGACAACGCATACATTCGTAGTAATATTTTAAACTCTAATTAACCTTATATCAAAATTTTAGTGATATTTAGTGACTGTAGTTAGTAATGACTAATTACAATCACTAAAATTTTGATGTATAAAGTTAATTAGACATCCATCAATAAGTTTTGACATAAGCCTACTTTGAGAAAAGTCACTTATTTTATACACCGTAATAGTAGAGTACATTATTTTTAGAAAATAAAATTGTGCATTAGAAATTGGAACCCGAATGGTAAAAAACCTGACCTTAAAAAATTAGAACTTAAAATGTAATAGGAATGTAGCATAACTAGCTCCCTCTATGAAATATTCAAAAAATAATTAGACCAGCGTATTAGGCATCCTTAAAAACCCCAGAATACCAAATTTCATAAAAATATTTCGCACCGTTTGGAAATTTTCGTAAAAATTCTATTAAAAAAATGTGTCGCTCTGTATCTCGAAAACAAGAGGAGATAGATATATAGTTCATAAGACATAAAAATCTCATTTTTTGTCGTACTATCACCCCCTGTATTTACGGGAGGTCTTTCTGAAACACCCTCTATATGCAAACATTAATGATTTAATTTAGTCACCGCCGTTCTTGGTGTTGAAATTTCGAAATATTTGGAATTATTCAATTTTCGTGGCTGAAAACATACATATGTATTGTATTTTCGAAACCGAGAGAGATGTACTCACCAAATTTGGACAGGACATAGCTAATACAATGCGAAGCATCGCCTTAATGTTAAAAATGTTATCACCGACGTACTTGGTGGTGAAAATTAACTTTCAGATAATTCTGTTGAAGTACAAAGGATTATAATAAAAAATGGTAATTCAAAAATCAATTTTATTCATCTTTTCGTTTATGCAGGGATTTTTAAAAGTTGAGTTTTAATTTTAACAGTTGCCTATTATATTAAAATGAAACAGAATAACTAATATTTTTGTGCAAAAACATCCTTAGTGTGAACAATAAGTTAGATTAAAAAAATTGTGGCTATAAAAGTTTTTGTACAATTTTGTTTGTATTCAGTGGCGTACTTTTCCCAAGGGTCCACTTTTCGAAGTTGAACGTCATTGCTAATTTTTTTTAAGTGAAAGATATATTTTTACATAGACGCTGTTACATGTTACTTTTTCGGACTTTAGAAAAGAACTTGATTTTTCTGGAAAACTGTTAGAGATAAGTATAGACAACCTTATATCTGCCGCAAGGACATTCAATTCTGCATTTACCCATGATAATTAATATGGGTCATTCCATTTGAAAAAACAGTTTTTCAACTCGTAAGATTATTAAATGTAGGTCTCAGTATTTCCGGGTCTGAATAACGTACACGTTTTGCTCACAGATGACAAGATAGATTAACTTACGCCAAAACGAATTGTGAAAACTGCAGGTTTCTCTTACTGTTTAGACGCTAACTAGCCTCATTTACAGAACTGAAAACTGATTTTTTTTAAAAAACAACTGATTATCTCGAAAACTGTAAGTTTTAAACACCATGTACATTTAATAAACTCTACCTAATATTAACCAAGAAATTCAAAAACGCAATAATATACAGGGTGTTCCATTTAAAATAACAAAGTTATGTAGCGTCCACGCGAAACGGAACGTCCCGTAAAGCTAAAAATATTTTTTTTTACATGGCCCAGATGATTCCAGACAATTTTTATCAAGACCATTTTTTAAATAAATTTTACAGTTACAGAATTACAGAAGAATTTCCATTAACGACAGCCACGGAAGCCTACACACAAAACTAAAAGTTAGAATTTTTTAAATATTCAGTGTCTTTTAGGAGCGTAATCACTAAATTGTTTATATTGCAAATAATAATGCAGCAAACGCTTGTAAAAAGATTTTGATTTACAATTATTTGCAGTTGTGAAATCTAAACTTGAATACGGTCAATTATATAGAATCTCATTTATCAGAGTTCACCTGTCTTTGTGCAACGTATTATTTTTGCAGCAGTTATAGCCCATTAAAATTAAAACACCACTTTCGAACACACATTATTTTTCATATAAAATAAATATTTGCCTGTTAAAACAGAGAAAATTTGCAATATCTTGTAAGAAAGGTTTTCACCAATACAGTTATAAATTATTTACCCTTTTAATAAGTACCTCTAGACATGTATTTAGTGACTATTTGTATGTACTTAATAATTCTGTTACTATGGACAATAATAGTTCAACAACAATAAGAAGAACAAAAGAGGCTTATTTTGTTAAACATTTGGTGACAGATGTTTATAAATAGTAATCTGTATTTGCAATACATAAATTTAAGTTTCATAGAATAAAGAATGAATACAAGTATATAAGCAAATTATAATTTTAGCAGGATATCTCTAGACAAGGAACATTGTTTACTTTATTTTAAAAGTACCGCAAATAAAATTATTTCCAAAAATTTTCCTTAAATTCTCATTAAATGATGCCGAATATGTTCCAAAAAATTGAATATATAAATATGCCTAAAGAAATAATTGTAGGCGGGCCAGTAATTTTGTAAACTTTGTGGCGAGAGAGTATCAAATAATTAAACACTAGCAATCTGTATTTTCTTAGTAAGCGGTAATATGCGTTGTAGTAGCAGACATAGGCTAAATCTGTGGTCAAGCCGTGTGCCGCTCTATGCTCACAATATATTGTATATTGTGCTGCTGACTAGCATAAAAACACGTGCCATACGCACGACCAAGCAATGCGTCGAACTAACTAACACATGCACAAACAACAATGAAATGCACGACCAACATCCCTCAACAAAACAAATGAATTGTTCAGCGATACGCCAGACATTAGGGTGCCGTTAGATACGTATCGAATAAATTGATCAATGCGAAGCTTCATATCAGAAGCAGACATGTTCAGGATTAGTCACTATAGTCTGACAACTTATGAGTATATTATTGAAATTACAAAAAAGTTTTTAATACAAAAGTTTTAGCTTTTTTATAAATTTTTATAATACAGTATTATAAAAAACAATTGAATAATGGAAATCACTAAATTAAAGAATTTTTTTTAAGTGGAACACCCTATATATTAGTGCATACGTAAAATTTTTCTCTTTTCAAATATATATATAATATGTTACTGTTTGCTTCGGGACTTTTCCGACATATTCCAGTTTCACTATTTTTGAAAAACCAGGAGGGAAATTTATGTCTGACAGATCGCAGTGGCTACGGACGAGGCACGCGGAACAAACAAATGACTTTGACAGAAGTTTATTTATCATCATTAATTTATTTTCTATATTATTCAATTGTTTTTTCTAATACCATATTATAAAAATTATAAAAAAGCTAAAACTTTTGTATTAAAAACTTTTCAAATCATTTTGAATATATTTTACACCGAGTTTTTTTAAAATTTGTTTTTGTTTTGAGTTTAATTTGCTTTGTATAATAAAAGGTTTGTTTATTTACTTCATATTTTATTTATTGTTTGATACAGAACAAAATCGTAACAGTAATAATATTTTACATTTCATGTTTTACATTAAGGAAAATGACAATTCGGACATCAGCCTACTATTTCAGAAAAATTAAAAAGAAATTCAAATTGCTGCAGGCAGACAGGATATTTTTATAAAGTGTGATACACCATTGAATTCGTATTTTTTTCTTTATCCATCCATGAGGAGAACCAATATGGCGTCCATAACTCTGAAACAATGGAAGATAGAAAAAATCTCACCATTGAAATCGCCATTTTGGATAATGCCTAGATAAAAAATTTCGTGACGCTATTTTAAAAAACAAATGAGTTATAACGAAAAATAGAAAAATCGATAATTTCACTTTTTTCGAGATATCTCAGAAACTATCGAAGATATCTTGGATCGGTTTTCGCCAAAACACTTGCCCCATAATTATGCAACTTTTTTGTAATTTGAGCCACCCTATATGACTAACAGTTTCCGATATCCCTGTAGTCTCCCTTTAAATAGTTCTAACCTTGTATATACTGTACAGGGTCGGAAAGTCCCCATGGTTCATCTTCCGTTACGTGAGAGCGATAAAGTAAGTCATAGAAATCCGTGCGCTAGAGAAAGATGACTATAATGAAGGCGTCTAATAGTCACCGCCCATTTCGCCTTTCCACAAATAAGATCCACTTCTTATTAAAATTTTCAGGTTAATAAAAATATCTTCGGCTTCGGCATCGGCTTCGACCGAAGGTCATAAACCGAAGTTCGGCTTTGGCTTCGGCTTCGGTCAAAAGAATCACATTCGGTCGGTCTCTAACACTTATTGTCTCAGAAGGAAAATGAATAATAATTATAACATTATAAATTAATCGCTGATCTTTATTTATTTTTAAATCCATGAGTCATTGTTTTCAAAAATGTCGGAAAAACATAAAATTTAAGTCATCAGCAACATCTGAATTGTCAACACATGGTAAATCATCAGTCAGTGGTCTATTAATTCATCATATCTCTGCGAAGAAGCTGTTTGGCTAGGGAGCTTAACCCTGCTACACTGCCAATTCAAATATTTCCCTGGGAACATTTTAGGGGGCGGGGGCTCAAGGGAAAAGAAAGCATCAGAACAGAGTTCACTCCGCTGCGTTGAATATCTAAACTTCTAACTTACTAAATTAATTTAAACTGTCTGTAAAGCAGAAACGCTTTATTAAATTTTACATTTTATATATGGCAAAGCGATGTAGCCTTTGAGAGAGGAAGTTCTAATGATGTCCAAAATTCAGGCTCACGAACGTCTACTTTAAAGGGAGTGGATTCAGATCCATTTCCTTACTTTTCTTTAAATTGTATCGAATTCTGA